ACTGTTGTATTTCCAAAAGTCAACAAAGACCAAAACCAATACCTTTGTGACTTCCTACTACCATATATTGTTTTACTTTTTACTACTATATATTGTTTTACTTCTGTTAAATCTGTAGCTACTACAATTTTACCATATTTGGAAACTACAAGAAAACCAAAAAAGAAACTTGTCTCACTTCAGATTTAATTCCTTTTTAAAAAGTTTAGCCAGGTGTGGTGATGTATGCCTATAATCCCAGTTTTTGGGAGGCTGAGGCAGGAGGATTGCTGTGAGTTTGAGGCCAGCCAAGGTTACATAGTCAGTTCAAGGCCAGCCTGACCTACACAGCAAGACCCTGTCTCAAAAAATATAAAAAATAAAATGAAATATTTTATTTGCCAGTAAAGAACATACCACTGACAATGTCAGAGGGTTCCTTTTTCCCCACAACCTTGCTACCATTTGTTATTATTTGATTTCTTGTTGATGACCATTTTCTCTGGAGTAAGATGGAATCTCAATGCTGTTTTAATTTCTATTTCTCTAGTGACCAGAGACACTGAACATTTTTTCATGTATTTTTTGTCCATTTTTACTTCTTCTGAAACTTATCTATTCATTTCATTTGCCCATTTTTTGACTGGGTCTTTTATTTTGGGGAGAATTTTTGTGTTCTTTATATATTCTAGATGTTAGCCTCTGCCCAAGGAATAGCTAGCAAAATCTTTTTCACTTTCTGTAGGTTGTCTCTTTGCTCTGTTGGTTGTTTCCTTTGCTATGCAGGTTTTTAATTTGATATAATCTCATTTGTTGATTCTTGATGTTATTTCTTGTGCAATGGGGGTTCTGTTCAGAAAGACCTTACCTACACCTGGTCTTCCAGAGTTTTACATTTTTTATCTTCCAGCAGATTAAGTGCTTCTCTACTTTAATATTTAGATCTTTGATCCACTTTTAGTTTAATGCATGACAAGAGATATGGATCTGCATGTGTCTAGCCAGTTTTCCCAGCACTATTTGTTAAAGAGGCTGTCTTTCCTCTAGCGTATGTTTTTGGCCCTTTGTCAAGATCAGGGGACTGAATGTGCTTAGAGGTGTTTCTGCATGCTCTATTCTGTTCCATTGATCTGTGTTTGTTTTTGTTCTAGTACCATGCTGTTTTTACCACCACACCTTTGTAATATACTTGAGATCTGGGATGATGATGCCTCTTGCCTTGCTCTTGTTGCCCTGAAAAGCAACCAGGCATGGTGGCACACACTTGTAATCCCAGAAATATGGGAGGCTGAGGCAGGAGGCTTGCCAAGTTTGAGGCCAGCCTGGACAATTTAGTGAGGCCCTATTTCAAAAATAGAAGATTTAAGAAGTGGCTGGGGATATAGCTCATGTTAGAGTGCCTCCGGAGTTGGGAGGGGACAGGTTCAACTCCTTGCATTACCTGAATGCCAGGTGAGCATTCCCTCCAGATCAGAAGCCTCAGTCAGGGCAGTGAGTCTGGGAATGAAGAGAGAAGAGCCAGAGAGCATTGCTGATGCCCCGGAAAGGAAACAAGGAAGAGCAAGAGGAGGCTTTATGTTCCTTTGCCAACAGAGGAAGACATCTGGATACTCAAATCAATGAAATGCAGAACAGAAATTAGTTTTTAAGAGGAGCATTAATAAGCAATACATTTCTTACTGGGAAATAAAACCTTCAACAAATGGACTAGATAAGGGTTTAAAAAAACATGGTCACAAAAAAAACCACCTAAATGTTATTGTCACAGCTAACAAAGTTTATGATGATTCTTTACTAGTATATGTGGTACTATTTTGTGGGTCTTAAAAGTCTTTAGTAAGTTTTTTCTTTTGTTTCTGATGCTGGGGATTGAACCAAGGGACTTGAGCTTGCCAACTAAGCACTCTACCACTGAGCTACATGCCCATCCCTTTTCATTTTTTAATATTGAGACAGGGTCTTGCTAAGTTGTTCAGTCTGGCCATAAACTTGTGATCTTCCTGCCTCAGCCTCCCCAGTAGCTGGGGAGTACAGACATGTGCCACCTGGCCGGTTTTGTTAATTTCTTTAAATGTACTGTTCATTGGTACATTTTAGGTATACATGGTGATCACATTCATCATGGGGAATTTGTTCCTGTACATGATACATCTTGATTCTTTTTCTTTTCCCCATTCCCCTCCCATCCCTTCAGCCCCTCTCCCAGTTTTGTCAGTTTTAAACATTGCTCTAGCAATTCCACTTCTAAGAATTCATCCTATAGATAAATTTTATACAGGGAGGAGGAGGGAAAAGGGAAGTAAAAGAATTAAGATGTGTTTTGTACATGTACCAATCCCCCCCACAATAAATGCAATCATTATGTACTGCAAACACAGGCTAATAATTTCTTTATATTTTAAAAATGGTAAGTTTTGATATGTAAAACTTGAAGTAAAAAAGAGAGAGTATTTTGTATTTGTAGAGCACTCGGGCTAAGCAAGTCACTTTATATTTAATAATCAAAAGAACGCTGAGTTTGGCTCTGACAGAAGCTTGGGCTGGAAGAGCTCAGACCTTCACCCCGAGTAAATAAGTGACAGGGTTAATAAGTGACAGGCCCAGGTGTCGGCCTGGATGGTCTGCCCCCCTGGCTGGGCTGTAAGGAAGTCCACAGCAGCGGTGTTTGTAAAAACAAAACAAGACACTGGATCAAACTTAAGCGACCCTGATTTGGGGACTGGGAAAATGAATCGCAGCACGTCTATACATTGGGAGTCCTGCAGCTTGGAGAACAGGACAGACGTTCGAGTTCTGATGTGGAAAGGCCTCCAGGAAACACAGGACGTGGGGAGGAGCCACAGCGTGAAGCCCTGTGCTTTGCACGTGCCCATTTGTACAGAAAAACCAAAGGCTCATTTATTTTTATCATCTGCCTTGGTAGGAGGACCAGCTTAGGCTTTCTCACCATGGGAGAAGTGTTCAGTGTATACATTTATTGTTTTAGTGTGAGTTATTTCTCAATACATACATATCATTAAGTGAAAGGGTACACATATGCACACACAAACATGTCCAGAACAGAACTATAGCTAATACTGTATTTATGAGGCACTGTTCTAAATATCTCAAATATATTATCTCATTGAATACCCAGAAGAACCTTATTAAGGAGCATTATTCAGAATGTGGTCATGAAAAAATTAAAGTATTTGTCCAAGGTCACCTGACCAGTAAGTAGTATTTGAAGACTGGCCATCTAGCTCCAGAGCTGGAGCTTCCAATTCCCTCCCTCAAAATGAATGTTGATGGGCACAGTGGCTCATTCCTGTAATTCCAGCACTCTGGGAGGCTGAAGCAGGAAGATCCCAAGTTTGAGCCTCGCCTAAGTAACTTAGTGACTTTAAGGAGACTCTGTCTCAAAATAAAAACTAAAAATGGGTTGGGCATGCAGTGCAATGTAGAGGCCTGGGTTCAATCCTCAGTGCCAGGAAAAAAAGAAAAGATTCTTTTCAGCACTGAGGATGAACTCCAGGCCTCGCACACACTAGGCCAGTGCTTTGCCACTGACTTATATCCCCAGTCCTTTTTATTTTATTTTATTTTTTCATGTCGAGGCAGGGTCTTGCTAAATTGTCTCTGTCTCTCTCAGTGCTGGGATTACAGGAAGCAGGATTCTGCCTCCTGTGCCCAGCATCTGCATATTCCTTTCAGGAAAATCTGAGGGAGATGCTGGGCTTTTGTCCACTCATCTGAGCTGAGGAGAGGAGATGCACAATTAAAGCTACCCAAGACTACAGTGCCTTTTCTTCCTTCCAGGAACCTCATTTCAAAATTTGTCAGAGTCCTAAAACAGTAGCTCTGCAAATTAGGCCCTGCCTTTCATGTGCCAAATTATACTGTGCTTTTTCTCTGATACCTACAGATTCACAACGTCCCCCCCCCCGCCAATTCCCAATCCTGAGGACACACAAATCCCCCAGCCCCAACCCCTCACGCGCCTCTCCCCATTTGCACCCACTCTGCCGTCTGCGTGTTTTTTTAACTCTGCCTTATCAGTCTGTCCCTCCTTCCACTGTGTGTCCCAAACTGCTTTTCCCTCCTGAAATCAGCCACCCTGGATATGGATGGGTGGGAGCAGGCTGAGCACTGTATCTTCCCTCTGGGACCTCCTGGTGACAGATGGAGGTCAGGGTCCCAACTTGGGGAGGTAGTGATGACGCCACTGCAAAAACACTGTGTAACTCCTCCCTCCTATTTTTGGATGATACTTAAATTTGACAAGCGCTTGTGTGCCGACATGTACATTACTAATAAAGTGGCCAAACATGTCAGTGATGGGCAGAGTCACTTCTGCACAAGTCGGCACTGATGCATTAATTCATCAACATTGCTTGAATTGTTCAAACTGCTGAGGCATTCATCATCTATCACCATTTCTTCATCTTGTCTCCAAGGGCAACATTATAGGTTTTGCTCACCATTTTGCTGGGGTTATTTCTCCTGCATCCCATTGATTTACCACTTGAGCTATATCCTCAGGTCTTTTTGAAAAAAATTTTTTTTCAACTGATGGTCTCATTAAGTTCCCTATGCAGGATTTGAACTTGCAATCCTGCCTCAACCTCCTAGAGTGCTGGTATTACAGAGGTGCACCATGGTGCCCAGTTTATTATATGCTCGCTTATTTTGTTCCAACTTTTTTCTGTGTTAAGTCTTTGCACATTACCAAGAATTATTTTACAAGGAGGATAATGCAAAATAATTGGCTATTTTCTTGGCTGATTGTTACCTCTTAGCATTTATGCTAATTCTGCTAAAGGAGCACAGAACCCCACTCTTCCTGTTTCTTTCACAGTTCAAATGTAGTTTTAAAAGCCCTTTCCTGGACGTTGGGGTAAGGGGATAGGAAAATGGGTTCCTTTGTTTCCCTCCATCCTTGTTTTCCTACAAGAGATGCTGGAACTGGACTGGTGTGGGCTTGGGGGCTGAAGGGGTATTTCCATGGATGAGGACCCCAGAGAAAAGAAAGCACACAGAACTGACATCAGCAACAGTAAGCAAACATCTTTATTGTCTGGCCCATACATGTTGGTCGTTGTCAAGGTTTACATTCCTGTGTACCGTCATAGCCGTATCGCACATGCACGCTCGTCTATCTAAGTCATGCTTACGTAAGTGTACTCTGTTGTGCACCTGTGCTAGACAGAAGGGTCATGTCCTTGTGTGTCCTCAAATGTGCTGGGCTTTGAAGCAATCCAACGTGGCTCACTACATCCCATCTTCTCAAAGGTCACGAGAATGTCGCTTCCCATTGGGCAGATCCCTGTACCCAAAGACCGCCACAACAGTAAAGGAAACAGCATGATACCACTAACCCCATTGCCACCACAGCACAGCTTATGGCCGCCCAGCACAAGGTGGATCCCAAGGATTCCCACCACTGGGTGAGCGGGTCCTGCTGCAAGATCTGGATGGTGGACACCTCTGCATCCACTTCTTGCAAGGCTTCTTGTACCTGCATCTGGTACCTGCTTTTGCCATCCCATTATATCAGGGATATAAATGTAACATTCTATATGCAAGAGGGTGCAAGTACCTCCTTGGTGCTGCCATCAGCAAATCAGGGTCAAACAGTTTTTTGGAACCCACTGTACCCCTCAATCACACCAGCTGCCTGCAGTCGGTAGGGCACATGGAAGTGCCACCTAACATCATTGTCTTTGGCCATTGTTGTACCTGGGCCCCTGTGAAATAGGTTCCCTGGTCAGACTACATCTCTAGCAGTATCCTCTACAGAGCATCCCTTAATGGTATGGGCTTGGTCAGCAGCAGGAAAGGAGTAGGCAAAGCCTACACCTATGGCTGTATCCACAGCAGTGAGAGAGTATCTATGTCCCTGTGAGAGAGCCGGGGGCCAGTGTAATCCATCTGCCATTGTTGCAGAGGGTCGGATGCTCATGGTATTGTGCCAAGCTGTGTGGGCATCTTTCTCCTCCAATGGGTGGAGGAGCCAAATGGGTGCCCTTGGACAAACCTTTATCACAGCCTTTGACTTAGCGGGAGTCCAGGTGCATCACTGCGCTACAGTTTACATGGTGCGGGGTCCTATGTGTCCTGGTTGCATGTGGAGCCAAGGCGCCGCTGCAGAGAGCAGCTACCCTCATGAAAGCATCTGCTAAATCGTTCCCCGGTGCGAGGAGGGGCTTATGTCCAAAAACATGATACACTACATGGCTAGCTGTTTGGCCACACTCGCATGTCTCACCATAGGTCAGTGCCCCACAAGGGTCGGTGCCCTGTCTGCCAATCCTGGGCCACCCAAGCCAGTAACCAAAGAGTCAGCCCCAACTGTCTGTGCAAACATGTGGGGGGCCTTCTTTATGCATTACAAGCAGCCACCCTGACCACAACTCTGCCCACTGGCTCAACCTGCCTGTTCTAGGTTAAAACCAGAGGATTTCTGTGCTGGGCTGGACAGTAACTGTGGTCCATGGTGGGGCTGTGCCACAGCTGGACCCACCAGTATACCAGGCATCAGCTGGAGGTCTCTCTTCCCCTTCTGCATAAGGGCTAGGTGTCATAACCTGTAGTGCATCGTGCTGTGCAATTTCCTGTGCCGTACACATCACTGGTCTCAAAACTGTTGCCGATTTGGCTGCCAATGGGCTAGCTGAGAAGGAGGCCTGCTGCTGTAAGTATGACCCCAATGCATGAGGGTGGGGGCCTGGGCCACTCTCTCCTGGGACGGGATGTCCATGAATGGACCCAGCCCTCTGTCAGGTATTTATTCTGCACTTCCACTGTCTGCTGCCCCATGACCCCCTCATAGGCACGCAGAGCAGCACATACTGCTGCTGTTTCTCAGTCAGGGAATACTGGCTCTCAGCTCCTTTCCATAACTATGACCAGAACCCAACAGGGTGCTTCTGCGTCCCTTGCTTTTGCCATCGGCCCCAGCCAAACCCATCATCATCCACACTCACTGTTAGGGTAAACAGCAGGATAGGCTCAGAGGGCCTTGCACTTGTGCGACTGCCTCTTTGAATCCTGTAAAACAGCTTCTGCTGCATCTTTCCAGTCCCATGTTGTGCCCTTTTGGGTCATCTGGTATAAAGGGCAGAGCAGGGTAGCTAGGTACCGTATGAATGTCCACCCAAAACCCAATAAGCCCACGTATGCCTGAAACTGGCATACTGTCGTGGGTCTGGATTATGCCTGGATTTTATCAATAATGGCATAGGGAATTACTTTTGTCTTATCCGACCAGGTAACATCCAAGAATTTGACAGATAAGCCAGGTCCCTGGATCTTGGCTTTGTTGACACTGCAATCCCAGGCCAGCAAGGCTTCCTTCAGACTATGCATGGCAGCTTCAAAGTCTGCAAGGCAATCGGAGGTTAACATATCATCATCAATATAATGGAACAGTGACACAGAGTGGTCCAGAGGGCCAGGTCCTGGGTCACTAGGCCATGACACAAAGTTGGGCTATGCAAATAGCCTTGTGCAACACCTGGAAGCTCCACTGTCTGCCCTCCCAGGTGAAGGTAAATTGGTCCTATCAGGCATGACAGCAATGGAGAAGGTGGCATTGGCTAAATCTGCAACATAATGGTATAGACCCAGCATCGGGGTGAGACAATCCATCAAGTCTGCAATATTGAGTACTGCTGCATGCAACAGAGGAGTTAGTTTATTCAATTCAATACAGTCACTTACCACATCCTGTCCAGCTCCCATGTGGGGCATATGGGGGAGCTGAAAGAGCTATGTGCAGGATGTATCAACCCCACCTCTTCCAATTTCAAAATGGTTTGCCCTGCTCGGCCCCCAGGTAGGTGACAACTGCTTCAAGCACACAATCCTTGCAGGCCACAGGAGAGTCTGCGGTGCGTGGTGTGGATATCCACCAACTATGGTTTTTACCATGTGGATTTTCGAATGGAATTCTCCCTGCATGGTGTCGAGCAGAGCACCAGTCAATATGTCCACCCCCAGCATATATTCAGCACTAGGGGAAACACAGACATCATAAGGACATGGAGCCAAGCACTCAACACCAATGTCACCCGCGCTCTCCAGACTGCGACACAGTGATCTCTGTACCCTTATGCGCAGACATTACATCCTGTGAAACAGTCTGGATGTTGCCATACATTAACGTTGATTCAGCTCTGGTGTCCACCAACACTAGTACACACCATATGTTCTTTGGAGACCAGTAAATAATCAGTTCCACATGTGGCCTCTGGTCTCCTGAGACCCCCATGAATCAGGTACCTCGGTCTGCTTCCTAACTTGAATAAAAGGAAGCCAGAGTCATGTCTTTCTGCTTCACTGGGGCTGCCTTACCTTCGGGCCCATCAGTCGATATTGCTGCTCAGGGCAAAACTGCTGCCAGTCAGCAACATGTCCGGGGCTGCCCGTCTATCTTATCTGTGGCTAAGCTGGCAGCCAACAAGTCCATCCAAATTTGGCACCTGCTGACCTTCAGCAGCCCCATAGTCTGTTCGTGGGTGTTGGCCCCACTTGGCCAGGGGCCACCTGATTTTTCTCTTTCAGTGGTAGCGTTTTTGCAAGTCTCATCTTACCTTGGCACTCTACTTTCTCCAGCCAGGCTAAGGCATCCAGAGTATCACGCATCGGGCAATCTGTGAAGGGGGCTTGGAGGGCCGCCAGCGACCTGAAAATGCCAGCTGGCCCACTCACCAAGATCAAGTCCATCATGCGTGCTGTAGCAGCTCATCAGGGCTATAGTACTGCATGGTGACCATCATTTGTCACCTGCCCATTCCTCCTAGCACACATACCAAGTCAAGGTAGGTTGTCCACTTCATGAATTGTTCCAGCAAGTCGCCTAGAGTCTCCCAAATCTGTCCTTTGTACATCCTGCAGAAGTTGTTGCAGAGAGGGGGTACTGGCTATGCTGACTATTTGGGACATCTGCAGGCTTAACTGCATGTTATCAGCCCTGTCGTCCCATAGCGTAGCAGCCACACAGGCACTGTTTCACCCACCTTTTGTTTCAGTTGTTTCGTCAGTGCCCTTACCTCCATGGCCACATAGGTCGCACACACTGTGTGACGAAGAGGTGGGTGGTCCTCCCAGTCCCTCTCCTTAGGCTAGGGGCTCCTCCACCTCCACTTTCTGGCAAATAGCAGGCTTCACACACAAAACCAGGGGGCTCTCCTGGGGATAGGGACTTACACTTTGGGAGGAGGCAGCACTTTCGGTGCCCTGCAGCACGACTTGCATGGCAGCCAGCTCTTGTTCCAGATCCTTCTCAGTCTGCTGCAGTAGGCCTGCCTGCTGGAGATCTTCCACTTCTTTGGAAAAGGGTGAAAAACAGCCAAGCCACCCACCCTGCTGTCTCACTGTGGGAGAGGGGGATTTGAATGTCTATCACCTCATCCAGCTGACTACGGCACTTGTCAGGAATGAGGGCTGAAGGAGTATTTTCTCAGATGAGACCCCAAAGAAAAGAAAACATGTGGAGCCGACATCAGCAACAACAGCAAGCAAATATCTTTATTGTTCAGCCCGTATATGTTGGCAATTATCAAGGTTTACATGCTTGTGTATGGGCATAGCCGTGTAGCGCATGCATGGTTGTCTATGCTAAGTCATGCTCATGTAAGTGTACCTTGTTGTGCGGTGCGCTACAGGGCCATGTCCTTATGCATCCTCAGATGCCCTGAACTTTGAAACCATACGAAGCGGCTCCCCACAACTGGATTCTGACATGGTGAGGGGAAGATTTGTGTTAGGAGGAAGTCACTGGGGTGTATACATTGGAGGTCCTCCAGCGGGCCAGTCATTCCCTCTTTGACTCTCCTTTATTTCTGTAACTCTTCTCCACCTTCAGTCCTGTCTGGCAGTTAGATCCTACACGACTTCAGGTCCTGAGCTCACCTGGTAACTCTGAGCCGAGTTATAGTAATCCTCTCCAAGATAAAAGGACTCCTGCTCTGGTCCCACGTGTGCTTTCAAACCTCCCTTCAGAACATTCTTAGAAAAAAGCCAACTGTAAAGGCACATGCCTGTAATCACAGCACTCAGGAGGCTGTGGCAGGAAGAGCTAAAAGATCGAGGCCAGCCTAGGCTAAGAGATCATGCCTCAAAAAAACCAAACCAGCCGAACACAAAATCATCTCCAAGGAAGCAGAGGGCTAGACAGAGGCAGGATCTGGGCAGATTTCCTGAGTCTCTATCACTCACAGGGCTTGCTTCAGGAAACGGTAACCTAAGCCCTGGCTCAGAAAGGCCCACTCACCATCTTGAAATTATTAATACTGTTTTTAACAAGGAGCCCTGCAAATTACATAGGTGGTCCTGGCCCAGCCCAAATTATACTCATCCCATCATTACTTTAAAAAACTTTCAGCTTTTAATGGGAAGGATTTCACTGTCATTTTGTTCCTGGTTTTAGCTTCTTGAACATGGTTCCTGTGATTTTTGCCAGTGTTATACACATCTGGGGGCAGGTACATAGCACTCCTCTTCTATAACTCTGCACTCAGTAAACTCTGCCCTCGGAAGAAAACTCTGTACCCAAAGTGAGTTTTAAAAAGATGTTTCTCTCCTTTTATTCTCATTGAGTTTTTCGACAATTTAGACTGGAGTTTGTTTTTCCGATTTTTTTGTTTTTGAGACAGGGTCTTGCTGTGTAGCCCAGGTTGGCTTCAAATTTCCCATCCTCCTGCCTCAGCCTCCTGAGTACCTGGGATTATAGGTGTGCACCATACCACCCGATGCTCTAATTTTTCAACTATTCACTTATTCTTTCTGGGGAATGAACCCAGGGCCTTTACACTGAACTACATTGTGAACCATTTTTTATTTTAATTTTAATATTTTTATTTCAAGTCAAGGTCTCACTAAGTCAATAAAGTACCCAAACTGGGGTTGAATTTGCAATTCTCTTGCTTCAGCCTCCCATCTTTTTGGGATTATTAGGCTCGCACCACTGCACCCAGCTTCTAGTTTTCTTAAACGCTTTGGAGTCTTAAACCATAAGACCTATTTTGATCCTTTTCCTGAGTTTTTCAATCTTTTTGCCAAAGAATTTCTTCATATTTAACCCACAAATCCCAAAATCCACATGAAGCAAAACATGGTTTGAGCAAACTTATAACACAAATTAGAAATCATACAACTTCCCCTGATTCACCTTTCATCTGGTGGTACCTGCCTTAGTTGCTTTTTTTCCCATAAACTTACTTAGCTGTGCCTTGCCTGCCATAACTTCCATGCTATTCATTCAGGTAAGAAGAAAGAGATTCACACATCCATCTTAAAATGACTTAACAAGTCTTTCCCAAGGAAATAGCCTTTCATGGAATGGTAAAAATACCTTCACCATCTCTAACAGATTGATTCCTTGTGACTTCAGTTTTAAAATGTGTTCAGGTAGGGTAAAGGACAGCAAACTAGAGCTCCCAGGCCCGACTCCAGAGACCTATTTTGTACTACACGGAGCTAAAAATGTTTTTAAAAATATTTTTAAAAAAATATTGTAGGGCCAGGGATATAGCTCAGTGGCACAGCGCCTGCCTGGCAAGTGCCAGGTCTTGAGTTTGGGTCCTGCTACAAAAAAAATTGTAAAAACCACAGGAACAAAGAACATGTAATTAAGAAAGCCTGACATACATATTATTTGGCTCTTTCTAGAAAGAAGTTTGCCAAATCCTGGTGTAGAAAACAGTAAAAAAAAGTAGCTAGGGCAGGTATCCTCAGATGAAAGGAGAATCAGGGGAAGTTGCTGTTCCTCTTCCCCAGAGTCATAACAGACAAAAAATTACTCTGAGCTTTAGCAAAAGGAACTTGTGGTAAATTAATTTTACAGCAGGCCATTGTTCGGGACTAACTTCCTGCCCTAGGCCCCAAACGATCAAACCAAAATGTTAAGTCACTTATGCTAAAGATCTACACCACCAAGGCACAGCTAAGTTGTTTATCTGACTTTCCCAGAAATCAGGAGAAAGAAACAACAGCCAAGTCCCCAGACTGGCTGTTTTTAGCTGGCATAACAAAAAAAAGAGACAGTCATGCATAGAGGCACACAGCCTGTTGCCCTGGCATCCAGCACTCAGGAGACTGAGGCAGGAGGACTGTGCGTTTGAGGACAGCCTGGGCCACACAGTGAGACCGTCTCATTTAAAAAACCCAATAAATAAATAAAATAAAAGAAGTTCCCTCTGCTTTAAACTCTCTGAGGAAAGTGACTGTGAAAGGACCAGTGTGCTTCCTCTTTTCTTTTCTGGATTGTCTGCGGATGCTCACTGAATAATGAATTCTCTGTCTCTCTTCCGGTTCTGAAGGCCGCCAGAGTCACAAACTGTTCTTCGCCCAAATTGTATTAAATTGATTTTGTCTGAAG